CACACCAGCTCTTGGTCCAGCTCAGCTCAGCCCTGCGGCTGTGGGGGGTCTCTGGGGTGGGGGACAAACCCGGCTCTAACCAAAACACCATGGTTGGTGTGTCCAAGGCCACCTCATCTCATGGGTTTGGTGCTTCTGGTGTCTTGGATGCTCCATGGAAACCTTTTGGCTGAGCACGCAGCTTCCACTGACATAGAATCCCAGACTGGTTAGGATTGTCCCAGACTGGTTTGGGGTGGGAAAGACCTTAAAGCTCATCCAGTCCCAACCCCCCTGCCAGCAGCAGGGACACCTTCCACTAGACCAGGTTGCTCAAAGCCTCATCCAACCTGGCCGAGAACACTTCCAGGGAGGAGCAGCCACAGCTTCTCTGGCCAACCTGGGACACTGTCTCACCACCCTCACACCAAACAATTTCTTCCTCACATCTCATCTAAACCTCCCCCCATCCCTCCCAAAACATTGAACTCTCATCCCCACCCCTGAGGAACAACATCCCAGTGTTCCCCACCATCACCAGTGACCTTCCCATCCCTCCCAGGTGCTGTGGCCGTGGCAGAATTCATCGCCGAGAGCCCGCGCCTGCTTCGCTTGGACCTGAGAGAGAACGAGATCAAGACGGGCGGCCTCATGGCCTTGTCCTTGGCTCTCAAGGTCAATCACTCGCTGCTGCGCCTCGACTTGGACAGGGAACCCAAAAAAGAGTCGGTAGGTAATGCACCCACTCACCCACCCCACCTCTCTGAGCCTTTTTGGGGGGGCCTTGGCAAGAAAACACCATCCTTGAGGGTCCTTCTCCATTGAGGGATGGGAACCTCATGATCCTGGTGGTGATCACTTTGAGGAGCCCTCAGGGAACTTGATTCTCAGGTGATTTAATTGTTTCTTGGGAGGGAAAAAACATCTTGGGTGGAAAAAACATCATCTTGGGTGGAAAAAGCATCATCTTGGGTGGAAAAAACATCATCTTGGGTGGAAAATCATCATCTTGGGTGGGAAAACATCATCTTGGGTGGAAAAAACATCATCTGGGGTGGAAAAAATATCATCTTGGGTGGAAAAACATCATCTTGGG